TGCTATGCCTTTCAGTCACATAATAATATTCTGCGATATGATTGCAATCGACTGGTCGTTGAATTCATAAATCTTTTGCCTCTTTTTGTATTTAAAAAAATACTATATTTTGTTGTTTCGCTTTTATATGAATTAATACAATGAACTCTAATTTGAGAATTGGATACAAATTTAATTAAATTTCTCTTAACTCATCACAAACTGCTTATACGACAAGTGAACTCACTTTTATAACACCCAAACAAATAGCGGGTATTGTCTCGGCTTTTGTGTAAATACGAGACTCGCTTTCGTCAATGAACTCAACTACTCCTCCGGTATTTCTTTTTGTGGCCTCTCTTTGATTGAATGCATAATAAAAATAGTGTAGAGAATGGAAACCGAAATAAGAGACTAATAAAAGACAAAATGGCAATAATTTACAGCAATAGCTCCAGTGATAAGCCGTCAAAGTTGTTACCACACCATCGAAAGCAGAGTTTTTTATTCTTAAGGCTTGAAATAACTTTAGACTCAACGCATCGTAACATTGAGTTTGAGTTCATATTAATATCTGTTTAGAGTAGGACTCAGTATAAAGAAAAACACGAGTCCTCTCTCTCTCTCTCTCTCTCTCTCTCTCTCTCTCTCTCTCTCTCGCTTAGCGTTTCTTCAGTTCTTTGATTCATTTTAAGGAATTTGAGGTTCACTTCGAGAGAACTTTGAGCTAAACTTACATTTTGTTTGCACTCATACCGAGAGATGAGTTGAGAGAGATTTAATTAAATTTGTATCCAATTCTCAAATTAGAGTTCATTGTATTAATTCATATAAAAGCAAAACAACAAAAAATGGTANGAGAGAGAGAGAGAGAGAGAGATTGAAATGTAATGTTTTATGTTGAGTATTGGTATACATATGCGGAGACAGTGTGTGAGGAGTTTGTGTTGAAGTTTATATATAAATGCACTTCTCATCGGAGTCGGTGTGTGTGCTGTTTGGCATCACTTCCCAAAAAAGTCTTTTAAAACCTAATATCTCTTCTCCTAATATATTGTAATATCAATAAAATCCATCTCAAGAAGAATAGTAACGTTTTTCAACAAAAATATTAATACAGAGAACAGAAATGGTGTCTAAGAGTGAGAGAAAGACTCAAAGATCTTATCGTTTTGTTTCTGAATACCAGAAAAGAGACTCAAAAATCAATTCTCTTTTTTATACTATTTATTATTCATTTAAAACTACTTTTTTCTCCGCAAATGTATCTCTTTTTCGCGTAGATTTAAGTCGATATCAGTATTAAATAGTAGTAAATAAATAAAATCCTTAGGAATTGGTTGTGGATATACACACACACGGCGTGAATACCAGCGCCCATTGAATTCATATTTAATTCCTCCATTCAATGGCATACATATGTTCTCCGATCCCGAGATCAAGAGTTTAAACAGCGATTTAATCGCAAAATCTCAGCCCTCAATGACTATTAGCTATATTTTCAGACGCTTTATGACAATTAAAGTGTTTATTTGTCAAAAAATTATCGGTTTAGTGAACAACTTATTACACGAATAGGCGAACAGACGGCTGAACAGCAAAAAATTGTTTAAATTCTCAATCCTTTGCATTAATAAGTGGTGTTTCGCACAGAACTCGAGTTCAAACTCATCGCTGATAATGAAAAACCTGTTCTCAGAAATCAAATGAGATATTCTTTGACATAAGAATTGCTAATCGAGTAAACGCTTTGAAAATATTTATATATACCCAACACTAGCTCTCTCTCTCTCTCTCTCTCTCTCTCTCTCTCT